TGGGTTGGAAGTCCATGTTCTCAGACCAAGTGTTAGCACATCCATCGATCAAAGACAAATTTAATGAAGCCCTTGACATCATGAACCGAGCCGTCTCTTCCAGCGTCGGTAGGTGGCTTACTGTGGTGGCAGTACAGCAACGTTTGGGTCTTGTGAGTCTGTATTTAGGTGTCCTGCTAATCAGCGTTGTAGCAGCTCCCATGAGCAGTGAAATTCAAAGTGAGTTTTACCTTGCTGTGTCCATAAGTAACACCTGTAGGGTGTTGTTTAATAATTGTCTGTGCTTCACTGAAGCATCAGCAGATTTTTGGTGACTGGCTGCCTGTGCCATTAAGGAACTGATTCTCTCTCAGCCTTGTCTGATGTATTTTATGTCAGTCACTGAGAGACCATTGTTTAGAGATGTTGACTTCTGAAGCTATAATTGGTTGGGTTTTTTTCCTTTATAGTGAGATACTGGCTCTTCTCTTTAGCTTTAGAGCACTGCCCTTTCCTTCCACACGACTCTCCCTGTGACCTAAAAGAGATTGTTAGGAGTTTGCTGGGAATTAAACTATATAAAAGAGAAGGCTGTGCCTGAGGGAGCAGCGCCTGATATTCGCCCTGTCCTCCAAGACAGAGAACTCCTTTCCTGGGTTCTTCCCACCCACTTGCTGTACACTGTGATGGAGAATCTGTGTCAGAAACATGGAGGATTCTTTGAAGTCTGTTTTAAGTGTTATGTTTATTTCTGTGGTAAAATGTTACAACTAGAGGCAAGCATTACGCAAAGAGGAATTTACCTATTGGGGAAATTCCTGGCACGGTACTCGTGCAGCCACAGAGTGGACTGGGGCTGATAGTGAAAGCACTCCTGATGCAACGCTGCTTCCTGCAATGTGGTGCTGCTCCGTCCTTAGCCTGATTTTGCAATAGTCCCTGTTTGTAACCACAGGCCGGGTTTTGGCTTTGAGGAGTATTTTTTTTGTTGTCGTTCACATTTTCCCTTTGCCAGTAGCAGTGCAGTGTCTTCCTCTCCTGTGCGTGCTCAGATACCATTTGGGATTGTGTCAAATCCTGCTGCTTCTGCTGCCATCCTCAAATTCACCGAGCTAGTCTACGTTTTATTAGCAGTAACAGCATAAAATGTAATTAGAATGTGTAAAGGAGGATTCTGAGCATTATTAATTGACTTTATGCGTCTTGGACTGGAGTGTACCCATAGACCTTCCACCAGAAACAGACTGGGACCTTTTCACACATTTTGTCTCTCCAAACAGGTGGGTACATGCAGCCGGGCGCCCGAGAGAACATCGCCTACCTTACTCACACCGAGCGGAGGAAGGACTTCCAGTACGAAGCCATGCAGGAGCGGCGGGAGGCCGAGAACATGGCCCAGCGCGGCATCGGCATGGCCGCCAGCTCCGTGCCAATGAACTTTAAGGACCTCATCCAGACAAAAGCAGAGGAGCACAACATTGTTTTCATGCCTGTGATTGGCAAGCGGCACGAAGGGAAACAGTTGTATACGTTTGGACGGATTGTCATTTACATTGACAGAGGTGTTGTGTTTGTACAAGGAGAAAAGACTTGGGTGCCCACCTCGCTCCAGAGTCTCATCGACATGGCCAAGTGAGGCCCCTGCTTTGAACTGTGAAGACCATCTTGCTATTATTTTTAGTGTAACTGTCGTAGAATAAAGAAGCTACAGATTTGTAAATAGAGTGAAGCTGTAGCTGTATGCCAGGCTTTTTTTCTTAGAAGAGCTGTTCAGGCAGCATCAAGAGATGAAATTACACGTGGAAGTCAGTGCTAAGGGAATAACAAGCAGTTCCAACACATGTGTGATGGCCACCTGTGATTGAGGTTTGTCAGCAGGTTAGAAGGGACCACAGCAGGCAGTTCTCTGCTCCTGCAGCAGATGAGTGAGGGCTGGTCTAGCCGAGTCCTGGAGGTCTCCAGCGACAGAGATGTCACAGCTTCTCCTTGCCTGTGGCCGGGACTCATCCCACCTCTCTCCGGGTGCGCTGGTGGCTCCTTCAGCCTGGTGCCAGCCTGCAGGCCCTCAGCTGCACCAGGGGCCCTCAGCTGCTCCGGGTGCCCTCTCGGCCCTGTCAACGCAGAGCTGGAAGGTGGGCAGGATTTCTTCCAGCAGATTCACAGACATATGCTGTGGGACCGCAGCAGTCCAGGGCACAGAGGTGAGGGAGAGGAACTGAGGCTTTTTTTCCCCTAGAGGGAGATGACCTGATTCTTCACAGAACAGATAACGAGCTGACTTCAGTAGCACTGAGCAGCTGAAGGCCCCTGCCTATGAGAGAGCTTTTCTAAGCCTGCGTTTGGAACTGGATGCCAGTACCTTCAACTGCAAACCCCTCCCAAATAACTCCTTCCTGATGCTTCAAAATGTGCACGGTCAATGCAAAGGCTTTGAATTGTTCATGAAAGGGGAAGGGATCAAAAGAGCAATCGTTATGCAGTACCGATGGCTTAAAAGGCAGATCTAAGTTAAATTTGTTCGCTGTAGTTAAGTGAGTATAAGTCAAAGCACAGCTCTACCTTTTATTAAATAATTAAGGTACAAAAATGTCTATCGCACTCAGTGTTTGGGTGCTGCCACTTTTGGTGGAGCACGATGCTGACGTCGGTGTTTGAGCTTCATTTCAGCTGCGCAGGAGCTGCCACGGGGAGCAGCCCCGAGGTTCCCCCCCGCCGCAGAGCGGTCAGGACTCCGCGGCAGCGGGACTGCGCCCGTCAGCTCTGTCCTCCTTTCTGATGATCTCCAAGTCGTCACAGTCTTGGTACGTCGGCTCCTCCACGAAGTCCCAGACCTCAGGGGAGAGTTCCTTCAGTTTTTGCAAGGGGAACCAGTGGATGGAGGTGTCGTTAAAGGTGTCCAGGTACCGCGGGTGAGCGGGGAGCGCCACTTCCTCCGTCCCTTTCAAGACCTAAAGAGCATTTGGGGAAAAAGTTAGGTACGATGCGGAAGCGCTTTTCTGCAAAGTTCAGTTACGAGTCGGTAAAGCTGAGGATGGTTTTCTGTTACCCCAACCCCTCTGTGCAGCGTGTTCTGCAGATAATGTAGAATGAGTCTGAAGCAATGCATTTATTTTTTTTTTTTATAATGTAGCAGCCAGGAAAAAAAGGTTTTAAAAATAACCACCCTCTTCTTTCCAACTGCAATTAATAAAAGGTGCTTTCTCAGGGCAAAGCAAAAATGTTTTAAAAAAACAGTGCCCCTCGTACCTTTGCGATGTAAGAATAATCTCTCTCCAGTATTCTTGACAACACTCTAGGATAACAGAAGGTAACCAGCAATTAGACACGGGTAAATTGAGACAACTTTTCTCAAGGGGGGGTGTGGGACAGAAAAGGCAGGAGATGGCTGAGAACGGTGGATGGGACAGCAAGTTGAAAATGAGAAAAACGTGGAAATTGTCATCAGGAGCAACAGAAAAAAAGGAGTAAAGGAAGCAAGGAGAGGCCAAGGCCGCTGGCGGTAGGGAGCCTCTCCCGCGACGCCGCGCACACCTCTCCTCCATTCCTTGGAAGCTGTTCCCGATGATGACCATTCTGGACAGCGCCGCTGCCGACCAGTTCCTCCACAGGAGGTTGTTGTACAAGGCTTTCCCGCAGTGCACCATGTAGAACAGCGTGGCCGATCCCTCGATGCCGTGTTTCCCCTCCTGCAGGTGAACCGGCGTTCCCCGTTAGCGCCCGCCGGCGGGACGGAGTGTGCCCGTATCCCGGGGGTCCCCGGGGCCCGGCCCCGCTCACCTCGTTGTCCGGGAG